GATGCAATATTCGATTGGATTAAGATAGCATTAAAAATAAATTAGATTATGCCAGAAAAATATTAGTTTTTAATTACTAGATATATAGCTAGCTTACTAGGTTTAGCCAGCCAAATGAGCAGTTTTTGCTTTAGACGCATTAGTATGCATCATTTAGAAATTAACACCAATGACACTCTGACAATTAGCAGCACCGTAGAAATTATAAATCAGAGAATCTAGCTGTTCGTTGAACCACTTTCCGTCAGTAATGATCGTTTGACACACTTCGAGTATGTCAGGGTGTCTATTAGTCAAGTAGATAACTGGCCACAATGAGAAGACAATGCAAAGCGCCCATTATAGACTTACTATAAATGATCTATTTTTGCGCCTCTCTGAATACTTCCCATGGCTAACAGCCGATTAATATTACCCTGCACTACTAAGTGTGTAAAAATCATTAATGAGAAAAGTGGTTCCAACGCAACAGCCTTAGATGCACTTACAGGCGATCAGGGCCGTAAAGGCCTGACACAACGCTTCTTACAACCATTGCCACCGTTAACCCTTGTCTTTATTGGAAAGAATCTTTCGATGAGCTATTACCGCATTTACAAGATACAGTGCTTATCACCTACCAGTGGAAGTGCGCTAAAAACTGCTGGTATGCCCAATTATTCCCAACATAATCCATAACGATGTGCATCATATAAATTCTAGCAGCATACCACAAAATATAGATAACAAATAAAATAATGAGTAATATACCAGAACAAAAGAAATACACCAGAAAAAAAAAAAAAAATTTTACTGCACATGCGTATATCTGTCACCGTGGCTGTGAAACGCTCGACAAACACTTCCGCCGGTAAAAAAGTGTTTGTAGCGTTCAACAGCCCACGTGACGAGAGTATAGCATGTGCTCAATCGAGTTGTCGAAACCAATTATGACGCAATCGCGCGAATCTGCATGGCAACAATTGAGATTGCACACTTTATGGCATTTTTATTTGGGAGATTGCCGGCCAATACAATGTTTTTACCACTGTCCCACTGCCGTAGGTGCATAACACTGGCAATCTTGTATTTTGCGGCGTATTAGCTCATCGCAAGATGCTTATCATAAGACAGGCTTAACGGATGCATGTTGCTAGAAGGTTCTGTGTCAGGCCGTTGTCCGATCGACCTGCATCGCGCTGCCTAGTCATGGCTGCTGTTGTCACGCGCTCCTGTGATCACGGCTTCCTGTCTGTCACGGCCCTCCTGCGCGGCTCACGGCTCTGTGCGTCTACGGCCCTCCTTGGTCACGGGCCTCCTGTGGTCACGGCTGCTCGTGGTCACGGTTTCTCGTGGGTCCGGACCCGGCTGCTGTGCGCGCTCACGGCCTTCCTGGTGCGTCACGGTCCTGTTCACGCGGCTGGCTGTGGTCACCGGCTCTGTCGGTCCACGCGCCCTTCCCTGGCGCGTCACGCGCCTCCTGTGCGCTGGTCACCGGCTCCCTCTGGCGTCGGCGCCGGCCCTCACGGCTCCTGGTCGCGTCACGGCTTCCTGCTGGTCACGGTTTTTCTGTGGTCACGGCTGCCTGTTGGTCACGGTGCCTGTCGAGTCACAGGCGCCTGGGTCACAGGCTCCTGTTGGTTACTGCTTCCTGTGGCTCACGGCTCCCTGTGGTCACGGCTCCTGCTGGTTACGGCTCCTGTGGTCACGGCGTCCTGTGGTCACGGCTGCCGTTGTCTTGAGTGGTTCCATTCGTCGTCATCGTCGTCGTCGTATGCCTTGCTACAATCACTTAAATGATTCAAATTGTTATAATTACCAAATGTTTACCCTTATCTTTGTCCAAAGATTATTAGTGCGGGTGCTTCTTCATTACTGCCATAACCGTCGGCATAAATATTTGCTCATAGAAGTATATCATCCCCTCGGCGCAAATCCCTCCGATGTGCAATAAAACAGCACATTTCTCGATGCTTCTTTGTAATTAACACCCTGTAATGCTTTAAAAAAACTAATAAACGTATAGAAAAATATTCTAAAGCCGCAGTTCAACCGCCGCTACTTTTTATAAACGATTACCCTTTCAGGATCTGGCTACGCGCAACACTTGATACACCACTCCATTTCGTAGCGCAGCTAGCCACCATGCACAAATAAGCAACCAAATAATCCCGGGTTGGACGTAGCAAGCTTACCGTGTACCGCATCGCGCGCCGCATATTATACCCGAAGCCATGGTCCCCGTATACATTCGCCAAATAGTTTCAGCTGAAATTCCATTTTATAAACTTTAAGTATATTACAATTATCATTATAGGCATGCCACGAACGTGACGCCACGGCGCACACACAGAATTGCAGGGATAAACAAACAAACAAACAAGAACAGACAACATTTCGTACCACTATTTCTCTTCTCTTTATTCTCTCTCTCTCACACACACACACAGCACGCCTACGAACACACAAACACACACAGCACACACACACACACACCACCACACACACACCACACACACACCACACACACCACACCATCGCACACACCAGGGCATTGTATTAAACTGCTAATTTTATATACTATATATATATATGTTAACTGTAATATATTTAATCGCATAAAACACGTTACCATGCGTTAGCCAATAAATGCCGCGTCTCCCAACCATAGCCACCCATCTCGCGCAATACACCATGTCGGAGTTTGCGCGCTCCAGTATTCAGCATCTCCGTGAGCGGTGAACATTACACATGTCAGATGCCACTCACTCACAAATACATTTTCCCGGCCTTCCTGCTTTAAGCTAAGTTATAATGATCATTTTTTATAACCCTCCTACGGTGAGCCTCTGCTTACCATCTGCCGCATACCCACTGCCCAATTACGTCCAAGTAGCAAACTCACCGTTACCACATCTCCCCCCCACAACAATAAATAGGAATAGCTCTCCGCCATGGCGCCACGGCGGCTCCTCTCGTCAGAACACATCATGCAATTACGTTTTCCGCCTGATAATCGTTGACATCTGCGTTCTGAAGCTCAAACTCGTAAGCCGCTTAAAGTTATGCATATTTTTTAGACGGGTAATCGACGCCATAACTATTTTTAATTTCTGACAGACGGGCCCCCCTCCCGATGAATAGGAGAGCTAACCCAGCTAAAAATAGACATTTAAACCGATGACTACAGACATGCTATAGTCACCAAAACCACACGCCGAGGGGGGGTATTGTATCGACAATCATCCACTAGGCCAGGATTACTCATTTAGTCACCGAGAATTTCGGCCTGGTTTGCCAGGAGAACTAGCCAGAAGTTCCACTGCTAAGTGCGTATACGCGACCAGCGTCGTTGTACTCAGCTAAGAGCTCTCACGCAAAAACGTTCCAATAGATTTACCTATTTATCCGAACACTAAATATCTGAGATTCCCCAATCTCCCTCAAATTTCCGCTGCTGCCGTACGTTGCTCTAGCGATAGAAATCTCTTGAATGTAAGCCGAAGCCGCTCATTGGAATATATGAGTCTGCGACTGAACAGTGCGCACGCCTGGTAATCACCTGCTGGTAGGCCTAGCAAAAAGCATCTTTCCAATGTAAGTCCAGGCACTCCTTTGCGTAGCGTCTATAGCATCACAAAACGCTGAACATTACGGCGATTATCTACCTTCTGAGAATGTTAATGCAAATAGCCGTCGCCTAAATATATCGGCGTTTAGTGACTTCAGAATGCAATCTCCTCGTTTTGCGCATGCGAATTAGCAATTCCACTTGGTCATTGCGCGTTGATTATCCATGGCATTTTATAATTGCGTGCACCGAGGCGTGGACAATTGCTGCTTTCTCGTTTGCTCCGGCAACATCGCCGCCTTTGAATTCAGATGATGTCACTCTCAATTAGCGGATTGGAGATGTCAGAGATCCAATTGGGCCCTGTGGCCATCCACGCGCCTCAATAAACAGAAGAACGCAGCTGACGTGTTACCACGTTTGTGCAATGACAAACACACCCCTGAACATCATCCTAACAATAAGTTTATGCGGACCTGCCCTTTAAACGCCGCATCAAGGCTGGAACTTTTGGAATAACGACAAGCCAGGAGGATGGTTCCGGAGACCGATGCGTCACGATCACTGCTCGACATATTTAGAGACCGCCCGCCTGCTGCCCGCCCAGCGGCCACCGGGTCTGTATTCTTCAAACAGTAAAATACGCGTTGACCTTTTCCACTTTCAAGATTATATTTCATCGTTCTTCACGCTACCTGGAGTCCATAATCTAATCTAATCCAATCCAATATCATATCCAATCCAATCCAATCCAACACAATCCAATCTGATTTATTCGAATATAATTATCACATGATGTGTACACATTATTGGAACTGCTCTACATTTGCAGGTAGAGCAGGTATCTCCAGTGTAGTACAGAAGTTACAACTCATGTAGTTAAATTCCAGTTTAATTGTCGTAGTAAACTATAAAAAATGTCGTGCACTCTCGAACACTTTAAAATCAATGCCGGGAGTAATCAACTCACTGTTTAAGATATATACGCTGAAAATATAATAGTCTTAAGCTTTTCCGTGTGAATGTGCGTGCGGGAGTGCTTGTGCGTGCGTGTGTGCTTGTGCTTGTGCGTGTGTGTGTTTGCGTGCGTGCGTGTACGTGGTTACGTACGTACGTGCGTACTTGATTGCGGTTCTGCGTGTAATAACTAAAACGCCGAGGGTGTGCTAACGTGCAAGAGCATTCACGCCATAAATTATTTCAAAAAATGCAAAATAATATTTTGAATGAATCCATGTATATCGTGACGCAATGCCGACGTCGGCTAGACAAATGGACGGTCTTAATTATACATCTACGTTATAGATTTCAAAACGTCGCACTTGTACGTGGTTACCATTGTATGTCATAATCCATTGTAATCTGGTTTAGAAAATCAATAAAATTGGATTCCTCAGCATAAAATTGTTTAGTAAATCTATTTACAAATAGAATTTATTCTCCACGTACATTACGATGTACTCTCGCATGTGCATCTAGTTATTCCACGGCAACACTCAAAATAATTCGTTTGCTACAAGTGGAATCACAATCAATATTAAGCAAGCTAGATCGTATTTAAAAAATAATAGATCCTTCCAATTAACGAAAACTCTGAACCAAAAATGTCTGTCTGATCGAGCGAGATACCCACGCCTTCGTGTATTATGGTAGATATTGTTAGGTCTAAGCTAAGTCAGTTAAGCTAGACCCGATTATGTGTTCTATACGTAGGCGTGCACACAAAGAAACGTCGACTTGCGACACTTTGTAGCCAAACATTGCCTTTTAGGATGCCTCGCCACACGATGATTGGCTTGCCTTGTCTCTCAGTCACGCCATGCGAATAGGTCTACTGCAGGTTTATTAGAGGAGAAGACATTTACTCTGCGTGTGAGGCCATGGCACGCGCCATCAACCGGTCTGTCATCGGCGAGTCAGGCTTGTACGCCTTCCGTTCTATCAACAGCAACCTGCACGCGGCAGAAACAATCGAAACTATAGACGAAAAAACACTATTAGGCGAATACTCGCAGTTTAGCGAGCATCTTGTTCAACTATATTCTATGCCAGCCTATATTATGTTTTCAACATAGGCTGTCTGCTGTGCTCTGCCCTCTAACTAGTGGTACGTTTGGCTGCGCATATATGTAATTCGTTTTTTTTTGGCTTTGAGTTGATGTCTTCGCGGCGCACGCTAGTCGCTAGTGCGCTGATGTTCCTGAAGCTGCTGACTTCATTGCGGCGTGTATAAGAAGTTTGATTGAACACGTTCTCTCTATCCAAAGATAATTTTCCAATACTGGGTAAGAAACACGTGGTAGAATTCAGCTATATTATATTCATGCTAATATTCGCATGCAATGACAATGCAGTTACGTTTCGAAATAACCACAATGCAGTTATGTTAAAATGCGCGCGCGCTTGTGGTGTGTGTGTGTACGTGTGTGCGCGTGCATGTGTGTGCGTATTTATTTATGTAATTTATTTTAGTTCTTTAAATATTATTCTTTTATTTATTTAGTTAGCGTATTATTTATTCTTTATTTATTTAGTATTTACATTATCATTAGATCACAAGTTCATCGTAACATTGCCGTCCATGCATGCGTAAATCTAGTTGTTTGTGATTTTTGCATCGTACTGAGCGTTGCCTACCTCCTATACTGATGATGATGTATCTGTGTGGGTTTAGGATGTTAACAGCCTCACTGTAAATCGGCCCTCATACCGCACGCGCTGGCGTCGACGCATGCCTCGCAAGCTTTGGGCCTTGTCGCAATCTGGCCTGAATAACTTGCACTGAGTTCCGCGCGCCTTCCTCTAAAACGGCATATGCATAATTTATACGTAGGCCAAATTTTTGGGTGAGTGTGGCGTGTGTGCTGTGTGTGTGCGTGCGTGTGTGTGTGGTGTGTGTGTGTGTGTGTGTGTTTGTGTGCGTGCGTGTGGCGTGCGTGCGCGGTGCGCGTGGTGCCGTTGTGTGTGCATGGCGTTCAGATAATGTTGTGACTGTATAAGCGTATACGCGCGAACACACGCGTGACGCACACACACAGCGACACACGACACCCACACAGCAGACAGCGACACTACACGTGGCGCGCGCAACTCCACACGCACCACGCACACAACCGCACCACTCCGCACACAGTCAGGCAATCAGATAGTCGAACGCGGTGGCTAACCTGTCTAAACTCAGCTTGTTCGCCTAGCATTATGACCAAATACGACATAACGGCAATATTAAGCTGCTCCTATGACACACTTTGTCATACGAAGTTTTTTGCCTAATGACAAATATTGTTGTATGTGTTGTGCGCATGCACTAAGGAGTTTAAGGACGACGCTATATGAACGCAAGCAGCTGAATTTCAGCTGTAAAGCGGAACGAAGTTGACTTCGCCTAATTACCTCTGTCAATAGGAAAAATGGCTTCCTATGATAAATAGTGTCATAGGAGAGCGTATATATGCGTATGTCGTATATTTGTGATAGATGCAAGGCATAACATGTTGCTACACAGCTTTTCATCGCTACGCCACTCGATAAACGTTCTCACGAGCTCATCCGCCGTCTCATCCAGCGTAGCCGCTCTTCTTTCGCGCCGAGAAACCGACATCAATAGATGGCAGTCGTTGAACACCAGCATGTGGTCGCGGCGTACGGCCGACATATTTCGGCGACGATCTTCCATCGTTCTGTCCGACACGAACACAGCTGTAAATAGACGCGTGCCGTAAATCTGCAGCTATATATATTATAGCGGGAGTGAATCAAAAAATAAATGATTTACGCGTAATATATACTATATATGATGTTTATATATATATATCCTATATATATATATATATATTATATATATATATATATGTATATATCGATAGCTGTTGCAAATATCAAATAACGAAATGTATCAACAAATCTAGGGATCAATTGTATATAGGCACTTGTTTCAGATTTCACGGGGTCCGCATAGCGATGAACATATTTATACCAAACGAACCGATTTTGCACTATTTTCCGTTAATATGACAGAGAAACATGGTACGACTATGTGTCGTACCACTATATTTATGTTTGCGTGTGTGCCGGAGCCCCAGATCACATTTACAGGACGCGCATTACTGTATTATGTGTGCGTGCGTACGTGCGTGCGTGCGTACGTGCGTGCGTGCGTGCGTGTGTGTGGTATCTGTCTGTGTCTGTACGTCTGTGTGCGTGTGTGTGCGTGTGTGCGGGTCTGTAATCATTTATTTATTTAGTTAATTAGTTAGTCGGTCGGTCGGTCGGTCGGTAGGTCGGTCGGTCAGTCGGTCAATCGGTCGCTCGGTCGGTCGGTCCAGTTACTTAGCTAGTTAGTTAGTTAGTTTGTTAGTTAATTATTTGTTCCCTTGTTTATATTTATCGTTATAATTAACATTTACATTTTCAATGATATTCACAACATACAACATACATTTTCAATGGTATGTGATATCAGGGGTTTATTCAGGCTACTGGCCACCTGTTATTGGGCCGACAATGTATAGTGAGTCTACCTTCCATTTCCAGTCGGTACAGCATGGAACAGGCGTCGACGATATCCGCCATGGTCCCACTAGTTCTCACCCGCGACGCAATCTATAAAAAACAAAATCGTAATAACATATACGTGACGTTTCAGGATCTCAATGGAACGCGTGACGATGTAACTTCGGATACTTACGGTAATTAACGATGTAATGAGGTTGGTGCACTATTAGTATTTATAGTTAGTATCAGTATGCTGGGAAATTTCTATACAATCGCTCAACAAAATGGCTACCATGTGAAACTCGCTCGATGACGAACCATTTCACGCATCGCGTACTCATATCTATGCATAATTCCATCGTGTACCTGAGAGTCAAACACGTCTAGCGCTGCCGTGTGTTCGCCCTGTAAAAAACAATTACGTACCTGATTTATCTGATCACCGACATATGATAATAATAATGGTGAATTGTACTCCATAACCCATCATAATTCAGTGGTTCTTCTCCTTCTGGTTGGTCCAAAATATTGCCGCCAATACATCGCCACCATGCCATCACGCTGCCACCATGCATCGCCGCATGGGCGTTACTTGCGCCTATTCGCATTTTTACTACACATGATTCAAATATCACCGCGAACAATATATATCATGTCACTTACGGAAGTATAATATCACGAGTGTACGGTGTAGAGAGTTATCATAATCTCTATGTAATACACTCCTGATAATATTACATACAAAATATTAAACTAAATTGTTAGTGTTAATCTAACCGGTTCTCTACATCAAATGGCACCGCGCACAATACATTAGTTGCGGACGCATAATATATTGCATACAAAATATTAAACTATTGTTAGTGTTAATCTAATCGGTTCTCATCAGCCAGTACACATACGGTCCGAGTTTCGTATCTGCGGCGATCCTAGGAAAGTTTCTATCGGGCAAGAATTATCGAATATGTTTTGTTTTGATTAAGTATATTAGCTAAAATACTCACCTCAACATTTTGACTAATCCTTATAGCGAAAAGGCAGTTCATTTTAAAGGCAGTCGATTACATATTTACGGGAAAAGCCAAAAAATTTACTTTTTTTCTGAAATAGAACTAATATAATATGGCGGTTATAGTCGAGAACAAGGCGACATACCCTTTCGATGTGATAAACGGCCCAATGCCAGAAGTTATGGCACGCCAACATGCTTGCTGTCTGAAAACGTAAACACAGCCCAACTTTCACAAAACTAAATCAATACGCCGAATCCACATGGCCTGCATGGTCCTATTCAATAAAACAGTAAGTTGCTGAGTCAATTCAACTGATACATTTTCTTACACATCTAGAGTGTCGAAAAATGCAAACCACGAATTTTTACAGCGCCCGGTGCTTTGCCATACTGCCGTCTTTTCAACGTTGTTAGTCGGAGAAATAATGTGACTGAGCAACAGTAAAATTAACAGTATTTATTGCCCTGTGAGTACGATATATAGCTAGTCGTGAACATTTACCGTCCAGTTGTCAAGAGTTCTGCTCAGGAACGAGATGCCTTCCTGGCTCCTTCCTTGCATCTCATATACGTGAGCCAACGCATGCGTCGCCCACCCATCCTTAGGAATCAACTCCAGGCCCTGTCGATTGATACATCTACATAATATTACCATGATCTGATTAGCATGGTCCGATTAAAATTGTGTGGTCAATGTGAAAATCTGAACGTAGCCTACACGACCCGGGACAGTATAAACGCGCGCATATAGTGCATTTTGTAAGTTTGGCGACAATGTGTTAGCCCATGATGCTGTGAGTTTGGCGACAATGTGTTAGCCCATGATGCTGTGAGTTTGGCGACAATGTGTTAGCCCATGATGCTGTGAAACTACCAGATTGCCGAGAAATATAATGAATACATGTTTTCGTGATGGTAGACATGCGCCATAATGACGTAGCAATTCATAACATAATATTGGGCGGATTGTACGCGTAATAAAGGTGTACTACGAGCATCAATACGATGCAACAGGATAGGAACACGATAGAGGACACGTAAAATCGCCTCTTGATCGAAATATGAAACCCAGCGTACGGTAGTAATAATAGTTATAGAGTCGATCGCTATTATTTATTTCGATTTGGTTATGAGCGTTTACCTTCTTTGCTGTTTTCTCCGCTTCAGCCCAATGGTCGGTTTCACACAGTCCAAAGGCATACATTCCCGGAAGATATCTGAGTATTGATAAAGTTATTGAATATCATTGCGGCTTAGAAAATGACTTCTAAGATGAGCAAGCTCTCTCTTTTAGTGTGCGTGTGTGTGCGCGTGCGTGGGTGCGTGGGTGCGTGGGTGCGTGGGTGCGTGCGTGGGTGCGTGCGTACGTGTGTGCGTGTGTGCGTGGGTGCGTGGGTGCGTGGGTGCGTGCGTGTGTGTGCGTGCGTGGGTGCGTGCGTGTTCGTGTGTGCACGTGCACACGTCTATGCGTGTATTCGATCACAGATATGGATTTTACATCACACTTCTTACAGTGTTGTAGCTACGATAAAATACCCATAAATCTAATTATATGGTAGCATTCAAAAAGTTAAAATAAAATTATATTGAACTAAGAACGTGGCATTGAAGTATTGGCTTTATTCGAGCAACAACGCCGTTCTGTCGTGATAATTAACACGCACCCGTATAAGGGAATGGATGCATTCCAGTGCGGATACACGCGTGCGATGGAGTCGCGCATCTGAGCTTGCTTAGCCAGGTAGAAGTACGAATCGTGAGCCAGTTTCAGGGCTAACATGTCCGTAGGGTGGTTAGTAAGGATATCTTCCCATACAAGCGTCGCCTCGTTCATGTATCTGTAACACCGCTCACGCGACAACGTTAAAGTGACCATCGCGCATTTTTTGCAATCTCCCCCTTTTTAAAAGAATTAATATAAACCGTGAAACCCCGGTTACATCTTGTTGTGTACAGTACCGTTTTACACATAAAAAAAAATTATGAAAATACAGTTGTAAAATTTTATGGGCAATACAATTGCGTTATGATAATCTTTTTGTTATCATCGTGATAACCGGTACAATTGTGTTAATAGCAATAAATAGTAAAATATCAGCTTCATTAAAACATTCTTTTGTTGTTTATATTACGTATACACACAAGCCATAGATTCATAAATAAATTTAATAATACTACTACTAATAATAATAATAAGAAGAAGTAGAATCTCACGCAGGGTCTCAAAGCCTACTCACCCGTCAGAAAACAACTTCATGGCTTCGGCGTGTTGCTTTTCTCGCGTTGTAATATCGCGAGACGTCGTTGCCAACCTCACCATTTCATCTACGTCGCGTTGCAGCTGTTTGTCCAGTCTGGGCGATGCAGCCGTCCCCATGAGTGTCAATCCGCTCACGAGCACTCTTCCCATCACTAAAAACAAGTATGCGTACACGTATACATAAGCGCTATGTGACGCGTGAAGCAGAGGTGTGACATCTGCCGCACACAGAGGCACGACCACTACCCTGCGTGTGTAGCGGAGGCCTGAACCGTCTCTGTCGCACACAGATGCACGATCACTACCCCGCGTGTGTAGCGGAGGCCTGGACCGCCTCTGTCGCACACAGATGCACGATCACAACCCCGCGTGTGTAGCGGAGGCCTGGACCGTCTCTGCCTCACGCAGATGCACGATCACTACCCCGCGTGTGTAGCGGAGGCCTGGACCGCCTCTAATAGGACGCAGATGCACGATCACTACCCCGCGTGTGTAGCGGAGGCCTGGACCGTCTCTGCCGCACGCAGATGCACGATCACTACCCCGCGTGTGTAGCGGAGGCCTGGACCGTCTCTGCCGCACGCAGATGCACGATCACTACCCCGCGTGTGTAGCGGAGGCCTGGACCGCCTCTGTCGCACGCAGATGCACTATCACTACCCCGCGTGTGTAGCGGAGGCCTGGACCGCCTCTGCCGCACGCAGATGCACGATCACTACCCCGCGTGTGTAGCGGAGGCCTGGACCGCCTCTGCCGCACGCAGATGCCACTCCCATTCCACGTGTGGGTTTCGCCAAACTTACACTCGAGCCCAAAATTATCGATTACACATTACGGTCCATGCGAATAATATACTCATATACAATCATACTGCATTCTATATAACATATATAACTATATACTCATATACAATTATACTGCATTCTATATAACATAACATATATACCTATATACTCATATACAATCATACTGCATTCGATGTGTATGTTTACTGCTAGCATGCATCTTTAGCATGTATGTTACAAATACATTAATATACACTAAAAACGTTAGCAATTACTACAATATATTACATAATACATTGTATAATACATACTGCATTACTATAAGCTACAAATGCAAATAATAGATGCATATAAAGATATAATGTTATCATAATTTACGTACGTTCGGGATGAGTATCTCTTACCGAATTCTGTATCAGCTACCAGTAATTTCTCTGCTGTTTTTTCTAATCCGCCGAGATTTGTATCTTCATACCATCCAACATACTGCAAAAAAAGAATGTTACTGCTATTGAATACTGCAAAAATAAATATAATATTATAAATTACAATTAATATATAATGTAGTAAAATATAAAAGCAAAACTAATATGTAATGCTATAAAAACTGCTTTATTACTGCCATGGATTTTACAAGTGCTGACGAGATAATTTCCTCATAAAGACATTAAAATTAAAGTTCAGTATTGATGCATAACGAGGTGAATTTTTATACTACGTAAAGTACGTGAGGACTTCACAGTTGACGTTTTTAATGCGTGCGATTTCCAAGTTATTCAAGATAACTATAACTCTCACTACGACCAATGTGAAGTCCAATATATAATAACAGAGGAAAATAATAACAAATTATTCTTAATTTGTTATTATTTACTCTTGATAATAACTATGCCGAACGGTGGCAAATATAGTTGATCGCAATGTTGGCACATCGTTACATGGCATCATAAGCACATAATCGCAACACAAGCGCACATACGGATATATGTGCTCTTGATAGAAAGAGATTAGCGGAT